AAGTCCAATAACAAAACACCACTCAGGTTCAGATCGGGGGGGCCGTTCCTCCCAATCACGCCCCTCCAGGTGTCACTGTCGCTGCCCACGTGGGCGTTGAAGTCCCCCAATAGAACAACGAAGTCCCCAGTCGGGGCATTTCCCAGCACCCTTCCAAGGGACTCCAAGAAAGCCGGGTACTCTAACCTCCTGCACAAGCTCGGGCTCCTTCCCCAGCAGCGAGGTGACATTCAATGTCCCCAGGGCTAGTCTCCGTGTCCAGAGATCGGGCTGTCGGGGCCCCTGCCTTCGACTGCTGCCCAATCCACTATGCACCGGCCCCTTACGGATCCTCCTGCAGGTGGTGAGCCCACAGGAGGACGTCCCCACGTCACTCGTTCGGGCTAAGCCCGGCCGGGCCCCGTGGGGGGAGGCCCGGCCACCAGGCGCTCGCATTCGAGCCCCAACCCCGGGCCTGGCTCCCGGGTGGGGCCCCGGCTGCGCCATGCCGGGCGACGTCATGGGACTTGATGTTAGTCTATTCATAAGGGGCTTTTGAACCGCTCTTAGTCTGACCCGTCACCCAGGACCTGTTTGCCTTGGGAGACCCTACCAGGGACATATAGCCCCCGACAACATAGCTCCTAGGATCACTCGGGTACTCAAACCCCTCCACCACAATAAGGAAATTTCCTGCTGTCTTAAATATTCACATACTAAAAAAAACGATTACCTACCCAATGAACGATTATTTAGGTCCAGCCCTACATGCTGTATAGATCTTTTTCACAACAGACATTTTGAGTTGTCACAGTAGAAAAAGCACAGGTGTAGCTAACAACATTAATAATGGCTGAGTTCCGAGACACCGTATGGATTCAGCCCGATTTTAGACCCGATTCAGTCATTCCCGAGTACATCTAGAGTTTGAGTGAATTCTGGCCTGAACAGTTGTTGTTTGGTCCTGGTGCCTGTTTTATGACACGAACGACCAACGATCTGCCTCCCGACCGCTCAGATGGATTTCTAGCATGTCAGAAATCTGGTCAGCTGTGTTAGTTTAGTGCACTTGCATGAGTACGAAAACAACAACATGGCATAGATAAGATCTTACATTTTGTGGACAATCAAATGAAACGAGGCCAATGACCACATATAAAATATTTATAAACTGTATATGGGTGAGGCTAATTGAGCTGGATGGAATGCAGCCATTTGGGGTGTTATCAGTTACATCTGTTTTTCCTACATGTCAAAATATCTGCTGTGGAAACGGTCTGCTTCCTTTTCAGATTTTCTTTATCAGTATCCTTAATGTTGTGCCTGGAAAAAGGTTTTCATAAAACAAGCTATTACCTCACTTTTTTCTTTAAGTGCAGGTGTACAAACATGTTGGCCACATCTTTATCTGTTTGATTTGCCGAGTGATCCCAAGCAAAGATATTTTTCAGAGAAAATGATGATGGTGAAATATTGAAATATTGTAAATATCTGCACAAAATATTGGGTGGCATTGATGTTGGTCAAAAACTGCACTGATCAAACTTCAGTCTGTTTCACGTGTACTGCACTTTATTTTTCACATTTTTCTCTCCTTCCTCCCAGTCTGAACAGCCCAGTCCAGCCAGTTCCAGCTCCAGTTCAGGCTTTGCTCCCACACACCATAAACGACAAGGTAATTTCTAGAAAACAAGCAAGTTACATCTGATCTGAAATGAATGTTTCAGTCAGAAATTATCTGTATAATCATTTCCTCTTAAAGGTGGCCCTGTTACTTGCTAATAGAGATCCATATGATTTTTAAAATAAAAGCAGACACCGATATTATACAATGTTTGTACAAAAGCTGTGTGTCATCTAGATGGTACAAAAAAACCATCCATCCTTCTTCCCAGGTTGTCCAGATGTTTAATAAATATTTGTTGTTTCCCTTTTACACCTGTGTTGCAACATACACACACAGAACTGAGCAATGAAAATACTGAGTGAATGTTACCAGTACTGATATCCAAAATTATGCTTGAAAAACTGGTTTCAAACACTCGAGACACAGGAGTGAAAATAGTCTGGTTGGGCCAGGTGAGTCCAGAATGTATTGCTTGCTCCAAAGTATGGGACCTTTTATGGGACTCTTTTCTTGAGGGTGACCTCTGCCTGTGTGTTTGTAATTTTCTCTGGATGCAGTGGTGGACTTCATCATCAGGAAAAGGGTGGCTATTCCTGCCACCACCCACACAGGTAACAATTACACTGAGGCCTCTAATGCCCCCACAACCTAGTCACATGTCCGCATGGGAAATGTTCTTCTGCCTGCTGTTTGCATGAAATTTCATGCATCTACTTCCAGTGTGTCAGCATTGGTTTTGCATCATGGATATGATGGCACTCTCCAGAGCACCCATCACTGCTGCTCCAGCAACACCTATGTCTTTTTACTCTCTGTGATGTCCAAGCCTGAGACCACACTATTTGTTTTAGTTTGATTATATCCATTGCTTTCCAAACTATTAAGACATCAGCGAGCCACCCTGTGAGGTCACACCCAGTCCTACATAAACAACATGGATTGATCTGTTGAAAATAGTCCCTGACAAATGCAGTGTTTGCTCCTGTTAGCAGCTTCTTTTTTTAAACCAAACTATATATTTCTGAACCATCTTTTTTGGCTTTGGATTAGGGTTGAGAGTCACTGACATTGTAGGAAAGTTGGAAATGGGGTAACGTTGTTAGTTCTGTTATTTTCATGGGATTAGATGACAATTTAAACATAGAGAATAAAGACAGCCTAATTTTTCCCCAGTCTTACTGGGATCAAACCAGCAGTGGTCCTTAATCTCCAGTTTCCTGTAGCTACAAAATTTCCACAAGACCATCCCATTACACAGCATGATCTGCTGCTTCATGCATGTTGTCACTTGTGTTTAACATGAAATAATTAAAAACAAACTTTATTCCAATGTCGTCCTTTGTGTTCTGTCTCCCACCCAGTGCTGGGCCCACTGCAGTCAGTGATGCAGGATCTTCACTCAGACGACAATGATGATGACTCAGAGGATGACGATGACAACGACATGGAATCTGACGTGGAGCGACCAGCACACACACACCTCACACACCATCAACGCAGGTTAGCGAATGGTCACAGCAGGCCAGCTTATTGACCGATCGCTACAATACACCCCATTTGTTTCATGAAACTGCAGTCGTACACAGGCAGCAAGTACTAAGAGGATACAGAACCTGCAGTTGTGCCACTTGTTAGGGAGCAGGCTGGAATGGGAACATGAATCAGTGGAGTAGTCTACAGACAATGCTAGAAGCCAACATACTTCTCAGGATTCCTCCATCATTTTCAATATTTCTATATAGCAGTGGATCATTTGAATGTATATGATGTGTCTGTTGCAGTTTCCCTCAACTCTGTAGCACTGTTTTGCCTCTTTTAGCTCATTTATTTGGTCAACTACATTGCCAGGAGCAGGCAGCTGTTTTTAGAGAAAAAGCTCAGATAAACTCACTGTGCACTACCTGCTCAGCACCAAGCAGCAGTCAGAAACTACCTGGAACATTTGGCAACTAAAGAGCCAAATAGTTTTTCACAGGAGTTGGGGGAGATTAAAACAACTTAGAGAGTTACCGTTGGACTTGGATTCATCAGGTGAACATAAACTCCAGGTGAAAAGATAAAGTTGCTCTGTGTCTGCTCATTCAGTCGTGTGGTTGGTTATTCTATCTATATATGTTTTTCTGAAAATGTATACTGTCACAGTAAAGTTACAAATACCATGACAGAAGGTAATCCATCACTAGTTCCCACCAGTGTTGTTGTACTCGGGTCCAGGACTTGGAATTGAAAGTGACTGTGGTACTGATTGTCAGGACTCAGCTTGGACTTGGGCACTGAATTCTCATTCTCAAGTGTTGACTGCATTCGGACTTGGAAGATGGAGACTTGGACTCAGATGTTTTTGTAATGAGCCTTAATTTGCCATAAGATATTATTATCTGCTGTTGCTTGCCTTTTGTGTCACACACAGTAAGTCGGCTCCTTTTAAAATGGCAAGATCTGTGTCAGGTGTGTTTAATGTAGACTTTGATGACCCTGACTTGGCCTGGAGGTCTGGTAACTCGGCTACACCACTGGTTACCACACAGTCGCTATCACCTAAAAACATTTTGGCCTAACAAATAAATAAATTGGGCTAAATAACAATAAATAAGTGTTTGGACTAATGGTCATTAACTGTTTTTGGTGTTTATATCAGTTGATTTCTGTGTTGACTTGTGTCAGCCTTATTGAGGAACTATTGTATGTGTATTTTGATGTACTGAAGTATTTGTTCTTTGTCCTGTGACTCTCTACCCAGGGTCAGTTTAAGTGACGGCAGTGAGAGTGACAGCTCCTCGCCCTCACCCCCCTCCCGCAATGAGGCCCCACCCTTGTTAAAGACTACTAATAACCAGGTAAGATCACATTATGTTGTCAGTGTAATTTTATGTAGCACAAGGGAACAAGGCATTTACTGTTTGTGTCTTCAAATCACCCAGAGTGACTGACTGTTTTACTCTGTCCACTGTCAGATACTGGAAATGAAGAGTCCCACTAAGCAGGGCAAACAGGACAAGAACAAAAACACAGAGTGTGACAAGGTACACAAAACTTTATTTTGTTTTTCACTGTGAACAGCCCATGTACGTTGAAATCAATAAGGAAACATTAGCAGTAATAAATGGGGAGTGTACACACTTGGCAGAGAGGCGCACACACACGGACATCTCCCAAATCTGAAAACTGTTTTAGTTGTGCCCTTTTTCTGTTCACTACACTTTTTATATCTGCTGCGGATTTAGATAAGCATCAAAATCCATCCTGGGATTCCACATTTGCCTGGTCAATATTCAAACCAACCTATACTGTATCAGCTGCCTGTTGATTCTACCATTGACAGCAGATTTATGGTGATGTACATTAATATTTAGACTGTTGTTGATGTATTTATTTTTATTTATTTTTAACCATCTCTATGAACCTTTTCTTATAAGCTTCTGCCTTTTGAAGGCTGTATTTACTTCATATCATCTGGCTTGAGTGAAGAACTAGGACAAGATGATACACACTACGTACTGTATGTGATACTGTCAAAATATAAAATAAAATAATTTGAAGACTTGGTGATAAAGAGGCATCAAATGTGACTTCAGTGTCCCTGGTTTGATTTTGGTTGTGGAACCTGCATTGCACCCCTTTTTCTCTTTGCATTTCCTGTCTGTGTCTCTACTTTCAAATTAAATAAAGGCAAAATGCCAAAAGGTCCTTAAAAATAAATGAATATGTAAAATAATTTTTCCTGATCTTAAAGTTACTTAAGAGCAAGTATAAGAGTAAAAACTGGCTTTCATAAGGCTCAAAGATGACTCGTCAAAGAAAAGAAACCCTTCCAAAATAAACCACTTTGCCAGCACTACATTGCTACTCTCAAATCATTGTGCTTTGTTCAACACATACATGTATATAAGATCCTCCAGATTATCTTTGACGAGAAATGTGTCTGCACAGGCCTGCTGTGTGTTGGAGTGCAGTCTCAGACCACAGTCTTATGTTTGGGTTTTTCTCAGGGACCAGTCAGATGAAAAGTCTTGGTCAGATTTAGATTTAAAGCGTGTTCATTGTCCTGTTCACTGCATATGACAGGGATAAAGCTACTGTAACACCAGGCTGCTCTGTGTTTTCCAGGCTTACCTAGATGAGCTGGTGGAGCTGCACAAGAGACTGATGACATTAAGAGAAGGTCATATACTGCAACAGGTGAGCTGCTGCTATGAAAACATGCATCAACAGTGTGTAATACTGTCACACTGACTATAGTTTAGTGTTGTGGAGGAGTCCTCTCAGTCAGCCTGCACTGTTGCCCCTATAAAAGCAACATGTGACATAGTACAGTGGAAACAGACTGGGCGAATAAATCATGATGCACACGAAGCATGTGACTTAAATGTCAACTGAGGCTTGCACTGAAGAGCTGAAAAGATCAGATCTGTGCATCGTGATCAAAAACTGTAACGTCCTTAACATTAATATGTCCATCCATCCATCTTCGTCCACTTTATCCAAGACCGGGTCGCGGAGGGACATGCCCAGAACACCTCCCCAGGGAGGCGTCCAGGGGGCATCCTAAACAGGTGCCTGAGCCACCTCAACTGGTTCTGCTCAACGTGGAGGAGCAGCGGCTCTACTGCGAGCTCCTCATGGGTGACTGCGCTCTGCACCCTATCCCTAAGGGTGTGCTCAGCCACTCTCTGGAGGAAACTCATTTCTGCCGCTTCTATCTGCGATCCCATTCTTTCGGTCATGATCCAAAGTTCATGGCCATAGGTAAGGGAAGGAACATAGATCGACCGGTAAATTGAGAGCTTCGCCTTACAACTCAGCTCCTTCTTCACCACAACGGACCGGCACAGAGACCACATCACTGCGGACGTCACACCGATCCATCTGTCAACCCTGCCACTCCATTTTTCACTCACTCATGAACAAGACCTCAAGATACTTAAACTCCTCCACTTGAGGTCGCCCCCAACCCGGAGAGGGCAATCCACCTTTTTCTGATTGAGAAACATAGCCTCAAATTTGGAGGTGCTAATTCTCATCCCCGCCACTTCACACTCGGCTGCAAACCCCTCCAGTGCGCGCTATAGGCCTTGAACTGATGAAGCCAACAGAACCACATCATCCGCAAAAAGCAGGGATGAGATTCTGCAGCCACCAAAACAGCCGCCCCTTGTTCCCTGGCTGCACCTAGAAATTTTGTCCATAAAAATAATGAACAGAATCGGTGACAAAGAGCAGCCTTGGCAGAGTCCAACATGCACCGGAAACAGGTCTTGCATTAATATGTAAAACAGGCAAATACCATCCATTATTTTCATCACCTTTTTCTTACATAGATTTCACCTTTTGAGGTATTTGGTTCTTTTGACTTCATTATCTTGTTGTTCCCTCTTCTTCTGCAGTGGTTTACCTATTACTTTTTTATTTTATTTTATTATTCCACATATTCTTATTCCCTGTCAAAACTTGCACTTATATTACCCACAGTGCAACTCGACAGCTCAGCAAGAGAATCGAGTTTGTTATGCAAGTAGCAGCTAATGTTGCCTGGAACCTGCAGCAGAGATGAGGAGTAGGCTACAGAGGTCTGATGAGCTCACTTCAAACCCAGCACCTTCCAGATTTTTGTTATTTTCGAACTTGTAGTCCTTAGACCCAACTGATAATGACTTACTGTAATCACTTGAGGGCCTTTTTTGGATATACAACGTCTTCACTTACACAGTAGTATTCCCCTGAAGGCACACGTTGGCCTGATTTTGTAGAAACAGATGAACACAGAAGATCTTTTAAGACCTTATAGTAAAATACTGAAAATATCAAGGAAAATATCTGTGCAACAGTGTAATTCAGTTGGATGTTATTCAGATTGGGGCAATATGATTCAAAAATCCAAGCCAGACCTTAAGGTTAATTACAGTACACAGCATCCTGGATGCATCAAGATGCAAGTACAACTTATTGCACCTTATGAAGACATACAGTAGCTCAAACACTAACTGTCCCTAACCATTGTAGTTTTACTGCGAATCTCTTGAAGTACTTTGTTTATGTTTGGGTAGTAACCAATGGGAAGTAACTGGAATCAAATGACATGGCCAAAACAAAGCTGTTCTGAATTATTTTAGGGTGGACATTCCTGAACATACTGTGTAGACTTTTTAGAAGTATCAGATTACATTACCAATAAGAAAATATTTAATTTAACCGAGTTTAAGGCTTTGATAATATTTACATTCTTGCTTTAGTATGTTTATGCCAAAGATACCTTGAACTGCCAAGCTCCAGATAAAAGAAGAAAAATGTATTTCGTGGCTTTGCAAAGTTTTAACTGATCTCAACATAATATCAGTACTATTGGTCATCTACACTGTTGCATTGGATTAGAGGAGGAGCTGCGATCTGTTACAGATTCTCTGTAATCTGTGGCTTCATCTGAAAGCAATGAATTATTTGGTTAACCTCTCTCCACCTAAGAGTTTCTTGCTTATATTCTCGAGGCCTATCATATAACGGCATTAATGAATCTTCCCAGTGGCAGCTGCCAAGTTCTTCCTCGCTCTCCTAACAGGACGTCTGGCTCTGAGGAAAGATGAAATCCCATCCAAAACAGTATCACCAGCCCACAACTTTAGCTCGCACAGAGTAATCAAGCTAATCTAGCAGAATTCACCAACTGGCTCCACTTCGTGTTACAAGAGATGGAAATGATTAAGTTGCAGCCTCTCTGCACACTGATGGGGTCAGCATATTGGATCGCACAGCGAACTGTAATGCAGATGGCATGTCTTTAGACAGTGGAGCTCTGAATCCTGAACAATGAAAGTGAGCCATTGGGCCACCCCACTTGACACAAGGCACCGAAGTGAAGTCACAGAAAGGTGACGCCTGAGCATCTAACTTGGATCTGATTAAAGTGGGCTGCCATTCTTTCCACAGAGGCTCTACAGGGGGAGCAGGATCTGTTGGGTCCTCCTTTGTGTTCACAGTAACCCAGCTAATTATGAAAACAATTTACATATAAAAACAGTGTGCATCTGTTAGTGTTTTCAGGCTGCTTTCATCAACACACCTGAGCAGTAGGAAATGGTTAAATGTCCTTTTTTGGTCAGCAAACACAAACTGCTGATCACCGTTACCTTGTGGTCATCTGTACCTCCTATATACTGTAGAAAATGGTCATTTCATTGCAGTACCTACAGTTCAATTCATTGTTATTAGTATAGCACCAATTCACAACAACAATCATCTCAGGGCACTTTACATATTAAGCTTTACATTATTATAGAGAAAAAACCAACAAATCTCCTTTGAGCAAGCACTTGATGAGAGGAGGGAGGAAAAGCCCCCTTTAACGAAAGAAACCTCCAACAGACCCCAGCTCTTGGTGGGTGGCCTTCTGCCTCGAGCGGTTTGGGTGAGTGGATAGAGGAGAGAAAAAGGAAAAACAACAAGACACAACAAACACTGAGCAGGTCGATGTGGCCGGTGACTGCTCATCAGAAACGTAGAGCTCCAGAGCCAGGGCTACCTGTAGAAAGGTACAGGGAGAGAGAAACTAAATGATAGTTTTTCCGTCATTCAGATTTTATCATCTACACTAAAGAAGTTTAGCTTATTTTAGATTCATCCACTCTTATGCCTGGTTCAGACTACATGATTTATTTGTCTGATACGATGGTCACTGTCTCAGATTACACAATTATAGAGTTATAACTTCTTGGATAAGGAATATGACAGACTAGACATTGGCACCCGACAGATCGCAACCTCACATCAGGACTTGCAGGTACCAGGGACCAGGAGAAGAGTGTGTGTAATACTGGCTGCTTGTGTTTGGAAAAACATAAAAAAAGGGTGGGATGGTGGAGGCAACAGTGGACCTGCCTGTGGGTTGCACAAAGAGCGCAGAAGCCTGTGTTGTCTTTCCTTCACAGAGAATTTGACATAGCAATAAAAAAAATAAATACTTTAGGCCAGTAGTAAAACCCAAAACTAGCCAGCTCTGATAAGATAGCTACTTCACAAGGCTGACTGTGAAAGTCTCAATGCTAATTATTGTGATATTTCATGAATATGCTTCTGTCCAATATGCCAGAAAAGTTGTGAACAGAAGGAGCCATCTGTGCTCCTCTTGGTCAGCGTCAGCCCACCTTGTTCTAGACACAAAAAACTTCGGCCGCCTTGTATTGGAATGCATCTGCTACTGCTGCATCCCAGATTAGTTATTTACTGTGACACATTATATGACACAAAACGATCAAGCATCATGTCCAACACCATTTGTCAGTTATGACGCCATACATATGTTTTGGGCTGATAATGGGCTTAAATTGTGTAGTCTGAACCGAGCATTAATGTTGTGGAAAATCTTTGCTGTTGTCATGGAAAAACATTTTTGTTGGTGTTGATTGATTTTGCAGGGAAATGTCAAATTTTGGCTACTATTGTGAGGAATTGTTGAGCCACTGAGCCTCTGGTTTTTAAGGTCCCCTTGAACACGAAATATTAAGTAACATCTGTCTTATTTCTCAGGTAAAACTGCACTGGAAACTGGCAAAACTGACGTTTTCTTGTGTTCCTGCTCAAATGTTTAAGGCACCGCTAGCATTTTGTTTTTTTTCTTTGTGTAGCAGTAATAGGTGAAGTTGAAGATATTAAAAGAAATGAAGTTAGACTTCCATTTGAAGCATTGAAAGTAGTTAAAGTGGCAGCTGAAATTCTAGTTCAAAAACTGAAAAGCCTTTAATTGCAGTATAGGTGAAAGTCCTGAACAGAGTTGGTTTCAGTTCAAGTGTAAAAACTGAAAGATGATGATAGTTGAGAGATGAAAGCAGTAGAATTGTCACTGGAAATGAAAACGATAAATGAACTGTTCATTTAATTGTAAGTACTTAAAAGTTGAAAGTACTTCAAAGTAAAGTTGCAGTTAAAGGATAAGCAAAAATATAAATAAGTTGACCATCGCAGCTCAGAGTTCATATCACTGGCAAATTAATTTCTGCTTATGTAAAGCTCAGTGTGTGTGATTAAAAATAGTTGTACCCTGGAGCCATGGTTATAGGCATGAATACAAATAAGTGCAGCCTGTGCTTTAACCCACTGTGCCTCCTGTTTTCCAGATTGTAAACCTCATTGAAGAGACTGGACACTTCCACATCACAAACACTACTTTTGACTTTGACCTTTGCTCCTTGGACAGAAGCACAGTAAGGAAACTCCAGAGTTACCTGGAAACCTCCGGACTGTCCTGAGACTCAGACTTGTGATTTTTCTTGAAATAAACTCCAACTTCGGATGCAAGCAAAAAGCCTCACTGTGGCTGGGTCCAGTTGCTATGTGTCAAGCCTGCTGGGTGGACTGGGCTCTCGGAATGAAGAGGTCGTCCCGCTGTAGAAACCTGAGCCAGGCGTCGGGATGAGCCCTGTCGATCAGGAGATCACCTGGAAAGCCTTGAATGTCACTTGACTCTTTAAAAACAAAGTGGGGAGCAGTGACCTTGTTGCTCTTAATGAATGTGCATATTCTTACCACGTGTTTCTTGATTTGTTATTCATTGTGACAAATGCATGGTCAGCATTGCCTTACAACATTTAGTTTTATTTATTGAATTTAATTTGCAGGTGTGTGTGTGTGTGCGTGTGCGCGCATTAGAAATGGCAAAAAGTAGCAGAGTGAGACATTGAAGCACTTCACAGAAATATCTTTGATTCTGTGTGACAGCTGAGCATCACTACAACACTCTGTCTCTGACTTGAATTAAAATTAAATATCAGACTGAATCATTTCATTGGGAACAAAAAACTGCAACAGAAGGTGTGAAGGTCAGTTGCAGTTAATAAAAGACACAATACCTGTTTAGGACACTGTTGGAAAATTTGCTATCTATTTTGCTCAGGCTATCCATAAAAGAGAAAGTGAACATTATGCAAGAAACAACTTTCAGGAGCCACGCAGAAGGCCTGGACCCAGAGAGGTCAGTTTTTGTGTGAAGTGGAGTGGTTTAGGTGGCAACAGTTAATTCTCAAAATAAAAATAGGGTTTAAAGCCTGATCCTGGATTTGTATATGAACTTGCCTCAAGTCATGATGAACACAACACATATATACACAAGCAAATACCACAAAGATGGGAGCAGGGTTTGTGATATCCAGGACACGTATCATGTTAATTTGTGGCTGTTAGAAATTTGTGAAGAAAGGCACATTTAGTCCAACTGTAAGTTTATATAAAGGTGTAGTGCAGGGGAGGCCAATTCCAGTCCTCGAGGGCTGCTGTCCTGCTTGTTTTCTAACTATCCCTGCCTGACCTGCTGCTGATTACCTGGCTCAGGTGTGTTCAGTCAGTCAGAAGCTGGAAGATACCAATTTTACTTTATCTTTCCTCACTCCACTTTCATCTAAGATGGTATCTTCCAGCAAAATGGCTGACTAAACTCTTGTTGGAATCTCAAAACATTGCCTCTGCAAGTCCATTTTTCTGGTATCCAGCAGGTGTGAGGTAATGAATTGTACAAATGGGCATTTTTGAAAGGTGTGTATGATGCCACCCTTAGCTGTACACAAACCTTAACTGCTTTTGTACCTCCACACCCCTAGCCGGTCGTTGCATAAAGTGGGTGTAATTATCTGTTTTGGCAGCTTCTGCATGTCCCTCATTGGAAAGTGGGTTGAGACATTGTGACAAGCACTTGATTAGAGGCATCACTGTGGACACACTACTCGAGCTTTAGCGCTAAAAACAGTGTTCCTTTTGTGACTAATTAAGGCACTATATGTAGAATACACAGCCCCCTCTCAGTATCATGATATAAATATTCTACAAGTAGCGGCTTTTGTCTTCTTGAAGAAAGCTTGTGTTACAAGATGCTGTAAATTAATGAATTTATTCTCAACATGATTTAAACACCATTTCAAATTTCACTGCACACACACAGATGGTCTCCGCAAACGTTTTAATGCACCAGCACATCATGATGTGACAGTTTTTTGCTCCCATGTTTTGACACAGTTTTGCATAAGATTTGAGTGGCTAATGGAGTGAGCTGAGCACAAATCATTAAGGTAAAAGTTCTTGTGAGAACAAGCAGAACCTACCTGTATCTGCTCCCAGGCTATATGCAAAACTGTGTCAAAACATGGGAGCAAAAAACTGTCACCTCATGATGTGCTGGTGTATTAAAACGTCTGCAGAGACCATCTGTGTGTGTGCAGTGAAATTTGAAATGGTGTAAAATACAATCTTTTATTTATTTTGTTGGAGTTGTTAAAATAGCTCAGCATCAATTTCACAAGGAGAACGCCTTTGTTTGATTTGTAACCGAGGACCCTTTGGCGAGTTTGATAAACTGAAATCCAGGATGGCGAACTGTGGTGATTCTTTCAAAATGACCTTAAAGGGTTTTTCTTGCCCTGTGTTCTGTCTTATGGTTTCTTGTGGATTTTGGAGGACATAAAATAAATATTCTGTATGATGTACAGATGAGTTATTAGGCCACTTGTGGATACTTTTTTGTTTTGGTGCAGATTCTAACTTAAAACTGTAAAAAAATGTTTTTTCAGTGATTGTACACAAGGCCCCATTTTAAACTTGGTTTTAAAACGCATCCTGGTTGATCTGATTATAAGTGGACAGCACTAAATACAAGTGTAAATAACCACCAAGACAGACTGTGATCCGATCACTGAAGCCGCTTGCCGAGTTGGTCTGGGATGCATTTGACCACTTATCTGATCACTGAAGCCGCTTGCCAAGTTGGTCTGGGATGCATTTGACCACTTAACTAAACACTAAGGTGTCCTGATACATCCCTGTCAACGATGTTTGAGGAAAATACGTCATCAGTGCAGTTGTTTTGGTGAGAGCGTGCCAACGTTCAAAAAAAGAAACTGAAGAGAACCATCTGATGAAAATCCATCCATTTATTATGAAAGCTTTCATAATACATCCATGTACAAATCAGACACTTGTCGTCTTCTTCTTCGGTTACGGAGACTAGTTTTTAAAATCTAGTACTGACATTAGCCCCAGCTGCGGCCTAGTGAAGGTTACAAGAAGCTTTTTTCACAACTGTAGTATTCTGGTGACAACAATCCTTTGGCCATTACAGTTTTATCATACTTGTCCAACAGATAGCCAAAGCTACAAAAATAGAACACATTCAAATAAACTGAGATATTCTGTTAACATTGTCCGTACATTGTTTTCCAGTTATCTGAGGAAATCTTGAGCCTTTTCTGCTCAAAACTATCTTAGATGTATGTGGTAGGGTTTCAGAGCTCTCTGAAATTTAGTTCACTACAGGTGTTAACCACTCTGCCATTCACATGAAACTCAAAATTTTATAAATGAACAAGGATTACTCCACTTAAAACAAACTTAAGCTGTGAGAAGCTGTGAAAATGCCATAGCGCCACTGTTATTGTAGCTGAGACAAAGATTGCTGCTCCAACTCTTTTCTTCATCTTCTTCAGTCCACTCCAATAACAACAGGGTCTGAAGAACTGAGACTATTTAAAATAATACATTTTACTGACACACTGGCTTGACAATGAGCCCCCAGCTGTCAAAACTAATGAATGCTGAGTCCAGAAAAAGACACGGAGAGCGCACAGTGATTTGCTGTGTGCAATATTGCAGGTGCTCTCAGTACCATCCGTACTGATGACGGGCCTCATCAGAAGCACACGGTGCTGATATACAGTGACAGTCCCCTTTTTCCTGGATAACCCCTTATAGAAGATGTTTGTATATTACAAGTGAGGGGTTAAAACCAAAAACTATAAGAATATGTGTCTGTCCTTGAGGTAGTACTGACTATACTGGCTACAGTCTAAAGTGTATGAAGTGAATAGGTCAGTAATGGTAAATTATTTGGATCAAAATGTTGCTCTTCTTGAGTGACAGAGACTGTGCTGTGCATGTTCTTTTTCTGTGGGTGGTCTGACAGAAGAATAGTTGGGAGTCATTCAGTTTTCCCATTTGTTGGCAAACAACAATCTCACATGCTTTCATCAGCCTCCATGTCATGCACCTCAGCAGACCTGCATTGGAAAAAAAAAACTGCTGACTGGAGGATAAATGTTAATAATGGCTCTGTGGAGGAGTTGGTACAGTAGGTGTTCATCGATGTTCTATATTTAGTTGTGGTGCAAATCTGTGCTGTTCCTGCTGGTCTGTTTCGCTGGTTTGGATTCTATATACAAAACAGGTTTTTGCTCCGCTAGCAGCAGAGCCTTACAGCAGTGTCACCAGACGTTTTCAATTGTATATAACACCAATCTACTTCTGTCAGTTTGCCATAAATATCCTGCTGTGTTTGACTGTAATTGATCACGTAAGATTTCCCCTAGCATCAACCTCGAGACAAGCTTTACTTTGTCAGCCCCACTGGGTAAAGGTTCATAAATGCTTCATACAACGTGACAGCATCCACTCCAGCATTTATTAGCATCTATTAGAAGTTGGTTACTACAGCACAGGAAAAGCTACATCCCCCAGATTAATTTACAAGCATGGCAGCAATAGGCATGTAGGTCATCATCACTTGGTTTGATCCATATCTATAAAACTCACCCACACTCTCAAGTTTTTTCCCCCAAAATTTTAGGTGTAATCTTTCAGCGTTCAGCCCTCTCTGTCGTACGGTGGTTACAAACATGAAACATGTCTGAGCTAGCTGTGACAAATCAACTTACCTCCTCTGATGGGCTGTGTCATTCAGCCCATGATAGTAAAGGGCTTGTGGGAAATGCTACTAAACAGAAGTATTATGTAAACAATATTAGGTAGTTTTGTTGTTGTTTTATAAAATAACATTCTTATCTAAACCGTATGAAGCAAAACGTGCAACATGCAGCTGAGAAAGACTCGTTCCAGTTTTGGATCTTTAGTTATTTGTGTCATTCCATATTTCTGTGTGATTTTTGAATGAGGTTTTCTTCTGAAGTTTCTGGTTTCACTTCAGCCCCCTATAGCTGTGGATTTTTATCCTCAAAGGTGGATTTGTTCTGTAAACTGCCAGGGAAGGAACCAGCATTATGTCAGAATTGAAAACTGGCTGTAAAAAGATAAAATTGCTAATGATATAGATGGCTTTCCAGCGGAAAACGTATCATGTTTTATTCATATCATGCCTCTACCTCTCATCTCACACCTCATCATTACCTCATGAATCCTGTTCCTTTGAAGCAGAAATAGCACACTCACACTGAAGTCTGAGCTGTTATAGTGCAGCACCCTCGCCGTCGTGCTCCTGGGTTTTATCCATATATTTTAAAGCTCTGGGTGCAAACCTCTTTGATTGTTTTTATGTCTTCTTTTTTTCTTTCTAAGGTGTTTGAATGACCCACAGTACAAACCCAACACCTTCTAATTTTTCGCTGAGCTCAGGCTGCTTCTTTAAAGGTCATAAGGTCTACGCTGATAGCAAGTATGAACCCTTATGCCATGAACACGAACAGCTGGTCAATGTATTTGTATTGCAATTTTTTTTTTTAAATCCCCAAGAATGATCCAAATTTATGTTGGATAAAAGGTCATAATTGTGTACTGTACACGAGTCCAGTTCTGGTATATTTGCTTTACATTTTTATGCTCCTGACATTAGCCAGAGTTTCAACATAATTTCTGTGACATTCCAGAGTTTACCTGCACAGAACAGATGATTGTAGGCAAGAACTGATAACGGTTCACCTAAAGTTCATTTTCGGTCAGGTGAGCAAGGAGGTCAACTGAAAATAGGATGTCATTCTGACACAAACTGGTCCCAGTTTCTCTTGTTTGCTCACATGTAGACTTACCGGCTCTGTGAATGTGAAACTGTTTATACTTGCCATTCAACATTCTTTCATATATCATGTTTGCTTTCTTTCTGAGAGTAGGAGGAGAAAATTGATATCACTGCCATGACTGTGTGTAAAGTATGGAGCTAGAGTCAGGCTGTGGTTAGCCTAGCTTAGCATGAAGACTGGGAGCAGGAAGAAACACCTAGAAAGTTCAATAATACATCTACACCAAAACCTCTAAAGCACACCACAAAAAGCTAGTTGTGCTGATTTACACATTGGAGCAACTTTCCTCTAACAACAGAGAAACGTAGCTCAAAAGTCTGGAGGAAAACTTGGTGTATTCTATTTGTAATGTCCACAATTTAAAGCCTGTTAAGTGATTAAAAATGTAAAACTTTTCTTTTTAAATGGTAGCAATATGAGACTGTCAGGGCGCATGTATAGAATTCTATATCCTGTGTGTGCTGTCCTGAGCTAAGCTGTGGTTCTTTTTATTAAAGCTGCA